ATTATATATAGTTATGTATGGCAATTATGCTAAGAATTAAAATGGCGTGTGATTGTGAGGGTAGGGTGATTATGGTAGGATTAAGTGGTATTGCTAAATCCCACAAACCTCCCAAAACACACTGTAGAAAATCAAACAATTCAATTGCGATTGACTGACTTGGTATATCAATAAGAAAATTAAATACATTTATAACTATTTTTTGGTTAAAATTTAGATTTTTTTGTGAAAAAATACTTGCAAATACACCACAAACACACTGCAAACCCCATCTAAACCATATAATTATGATTGTAGAACTCTCTTTTTCTTTAAAAAAAAAAATAATAATTTGATGTTCATACTAACCCACTGTTTGTGGGGTTTACCAATACACAGATTGAATTCTGGAAAATTGTGATTCCGCTTCCGTGAAATCGGCCACAAGTAATTTATTTTAGTATTAATAAATGCATGATTTATGTTGATTTATTGATTATGTTGTTGCTATTTTTTAACATTTAAATGGAAAAAAAAAATAAAAAGTGTAATTCATGGCTTTTTATTTATCTTTGAATATTTATCATTGAATATTAATTCTTGCAAAAAGTAAAATGTAAGTGGCAATTTGTTTGATGTTAGATTCCTTTTAAAAACTAAATTATTTAAGATTAAAAAAAATGCATATATTTAAAACAGAATTTGATTATTGGAGCCATTTTTACCTACCTGTCATATGGGGCCATTTTTACCGGGGCCATTTGTTCCGGGGCCGCTTTTTCCGGGGTCATTCTTACCGTACACCCAACTTACAGTACTGAGAAACGTTTGTTACTAGGCAACTTACAGTACTGGGAAATTTAGTATTGTTGCATATTTCGGAATGGATCGGGTGGATTAATTTTATTTTCTTATTCGTTAAATATTTCACTGACACGGTCGGAGCTCAGCCAACAATGGTTTCACTCTACCGTACTGTACACATTTTAGTCTATAATCCGATAGAAGCTCACGAGTACGAAATAACTGGACACGTACACCAGGATTTTGTGTAAGTTATAATAAACTTATATCACTAATAAATAAAACCTTGAAATATAATATTTTTGTCGATGATAAACCTGCTAATATTAACAAGGCAAGGAAACAAACATTGAGTGTAGAGGTAGGCTTACTGTTACAGCTAGGCTTACTGTAAAATCGGCAGATGAGGCGTACCTACGCACATACAGCACTAATGTGCAATGCGCGAACTATCGTATCAAGGACACTCAATAGGCCTAATTTTACCCAGAAAGGTTACTGACACTGCACTCCGCGACGAAGCGAAACCATGTGTAACAGATGGACCCCAGCTGATTTTTTCGTAAATCGTTAGAGTAGGCCTATATATTTAATAAGACTGAGCAAAAATGTTTCAAACAACTTCTAATCCAAACATATTTTAATATTTTTTTAAAAATCAATAACGAAAATTGATCATGTGATATAATTTTAAAATTACCCTATGTTATGGATAATAATGAAAAAATTTGAGAAACATGGTTTATATACACTGTTTAAATAGATAACACAATGACGACGCAAACATTTCCTTATAAACGTTTATTAGTATTTTTTTTTATTCTTCAATGCTGTGTTTATAATCCTTTAACATACTAAGCTTATTGGAAATTCAATTAGAGAATACGTAAACTCTCTATTCATTGAGAAAATAACAATAGAAATATACTTCCCTATTGAGAAAAAAAACAGAACACGTCCCTATGGTTACATTAACTCCCTATTCATTGAGAATATCAGTAAAAAGTTCACGTCCACATACGTTCGCTGTTAATCAGGCCTATAGCAGCCTTCCACTGGATTGAAAGGCCAAAGCATGCCCCATTTGTACAACGCACAACCAAGAAGCAACATGGAATGGAAACCATAGCAGTAAATAATCTTACGGTAGCCTAGTTTACCGAACAAGCCAATCGGCTTTTCTCGGCAGTAACGCGTTTACGCTCCTGAATTGGAATAGGCGGCGTACAAAGAATCAAACTAATTAGGTGACTGACCATGTGTCTGATTCACATAATGGAGTATCGCGCCAACCTGGTGGGAACCTACTTGCGGAACTTTTCTTACTCAAGTGTTACTAGGCAACTTTACAGTACTGGGAAATTTAGCATTGTTGCCTATTTCGGGATGGATCGCCTATTTTACACACGTCTATTATCCGATAGAAGCTGCAAAAGGATTACTGTATCCAGTCAGGTATCAAGTTTGTTTTATGTTTTTTTCAAACCACAACACTTCCATACACAACACAATTCTATTCTGGCTGCTGTAGAAATCCAAACTGCAGTAGTGTAAAATTGAGGTTTTTGGAGTGCAGATAAAGTTTTATATCCATACCAGCCAGGAGAGTCCCTGAGTCCGATCCATCACATTAAGACAGTTAGTTTGGACACCGAGAGTACACAACATTCCATAAATGTTTTCCTCTTATCATACAGTTTACTAGTCTTTTCAAGAGTAGGGGGTATTGTCTCTCATTAGCATGGCTTTAATATTTGTCAAAATAGAAAACTATGAAATAGGGCACAAAAAAAGGTCCAGATTAGCTTGGGTACGGACGCACAAAACAAACAGATGTCTAAAAAGTCACGTTTGCCTGTTTACCAAAAAACTGCGTAACATACTAGTAACGTACATACTAATTATAAACACGACCAGGATTTTAAAAGTTCCTATGCTTGCATGCATAGGAACCAAAAAGAAATAATTGATCGCCCAAAGTGCCTCCGAGTTTATTTTCGGACTTCTAGAAAACAAAAATTTTGCAGGGGCATGCCCCCCCCCCACTTCTGTCCCCTTTCGGACATCTCTGGATCCCCCCTGAGTGCCTCAGTAATAAAGCTGCCATGTCTCTGACTTAACGACACAGTACTCTACACAATAACATAATATTCTCATCGATTTACTATATACTACAGTGTAATGCAATACTTTTACTTTAAAAACAAAAAAAACAATTACAAAATAAGATAAATAATAACATGAAATTATATTGAGTTGACACAGAGGTTTCATCTACATAGTATACAAAAAAAAACCACAAAAAAAAAAAACAATTCCAATTTATTATTGTGACCATTGGTAATTACAATTAGTAATTAAATTATTACACTGAGTAATTATAAATTATTTATTATTTTCAGTTAAAAACATCATAAAAATCTGCATGCACTACAGTGCTGTCCCTAGGAGAGGTATAGTTTACTGACAAGAAAAGTAATTTAAATATTTCAGTGAAAAATCAAGATACAAAAGCTTTATGCGGCATTACATAGACCTACATTCTTTAATTAGAGGGCAAAATTTACTCACTAAAAAGTACCAAAAGACTATAAAATGATATTAAATCAGAATAACTAGGCTAGAAGTTAATGTAAACAGAGCTTATAAAGCACAGTAGTAGCAAGTTGTGATTCATATAAAAAAAAAAAGAAAATTGCAAATTTAAACAAAATTCTATAAATTTCATTTCAAAATCTATAATTGTGAAGTTGTGTTCACAAATTTCGTAATTTTCAACATTGACCTCATCTTAAAATGTCCCAGCAATAATCTCCAAAACTGAAGTTGAGATAATGAATGTTCAAAATATCAGGGGCGGATTGTGCGCCCTCCTCTTTTGGAAAGTATAAAAAAAAAAAAGAAAGAAAAAAGAAAGAAAGAAAAAGAAATAATTGATCATCCAAAATGCCTCAAAGGTTATTTTGGGCCCAACTTTCAGACATTTCTGTATCCGCCCCTGAATATAGTCACCGTTCTTGTGTTCAGATTTTACATCACTTTTTGCTGGGGTTAACAATCCTTCAGCAATTGGATTAACTGTTGTTTCAGTTGCTTGTTGATTGTTTAAATCCATATGTACATTTGTGACCCTACAGGTTGAGCTCTTGGTCTGTATTTTCCAGTAAATGACCATGCCAGATCATTCGTCTGTTTAATTAGAAACTCCAATGTGTAATATGCAATATATTTAACATCAACAACCTAACAACAGTCACCTCTTGAGGTCTCTAAGATGATATTAAAATTTCAAAAGTATTAACTTATATATACTTTGGTCCTATTTTAAAAGTTCATACTGTCCTATTTTTAAAGTTAATACTCACATCATGATTAAATTTCCAAAGCTGTAATATGTTTTTAAAACAGTAACACATTTCTTGAAGCTGTACGATAATCATTAAATAATAACCAAAGTTGATACCTCCAACTGATCATCAGTAAAATTCATGATCTCGCTTCTTGATGGTTAATCTCAGTGATATTTAAGTCATACTGTACTGGTTTTACCAGCATGATCTTATAATAACAATATATTATAGTTTATATATCTTGATTCACAGATGATTATAGCTATTTCATTCTGAATGATGTTCTTCAAAATCAGATTGACTGTACATCAGTTGCATAATTCTAAGACAATACAAACTTGCAACATAAAACATAGTGTTAGGCTATATATCTGACCAAATAATAACTTGCAACATAAAACATAGTGTTAGGCTATATATCTGACCAAATTATAACTTGCAACATAAAACATAGTGTTGGGCTATTTTATATATCTGACCAAATAATAACTTTTTTCCTGGTGTCACAACTAAACATGTACTGTCCTCCCGGATGCCATGACACTGAAATGACAGCAGAGCTGAAAAAAAAGTTTAAAATAACGTTTAATAAATTCTAGGACACTAGGAGAAATGTATATAAAATTTAAAAAAAAAATAGTGATGCTGTCAATCTATGCTTAATTTTAAAACATAGGTTTTTTAAATTTCATTTCCTTGCATTCCTATATATAAACTATAAAGCACAAGGATTTTAGCATGTGTGTGCTATACTTCATTTAAATTATTATCAGTATCATTTATAACTGCAAAAAAAAAAATAAATAAATAAATCACTTTTCAATGACAATTTTTTAGATTTAAATGATTATTTTACCACTGAAAATGTGAAGTTTTTAAATGATATGCTTAGAATTTCATAATTACTGCTACCACAGAGGTTCTGTATTTTATAGTCTCTAGTGTTTTTGTTTGTTTGTTAGCAGTTGGAGCAATTGTAGAAGCGGTTGGCGCATTGGTTGTGGCTTGAACTCCCGACCTCAAGGTAGGGGGTTCGAAACTCTTGCTGTGCAAGAGTCACTTGTGTCCTTGGGCAAGTTACTTTATCTGTGGTTTTCTCTCTTCACCCAGGAGTACAAGTGGGTGCCTGGTTGGTTCGAACACAACTGTGCTGATTACTAGCTGCAATATTATGGAATTTTCCCCAGGGAGCTGAGTATGTGTTCCATACGTGTTTGATCCAATGATCGGGGTAGTAATGTGAAGCGCTTAGAGACTTATATGCATAAAGCACTATATAAGGCCGACATATTACATTATTATTAGTAGGATAAAGGAAAAAATTAATGAATGGCTAATTGTAAGATTTAGTGGAGGGCTACATATTGGTATAAAGAAGAGAAAATTAAATTTTGGCATTAAAAAATTAAAAGTCAGACTAAGGAAACTTGGTCTAGTCGAGGTAAGCACTCTATTGGGTACCCATTCTAGTTGTATGTACTGCATATTTTATTATATTGTATTTGTGATTTTTGTTGAACTTTTTTTAACTGTGGATATTGTATTGTTTCAATGTGAACGCACAGCATACCTGTAGCGTATGCCACTGATGCAAAATTGTAGATTATATGGTAAAATCTGCTGTTTTTCTACAAGTGTACATATTTTTACCATGAAGTTATTTTGTATCTACAGTAGTACTGTCTATCTGTGGGGGGGGGGGGGAATTCAATGATTTTTCCTATAAAATCTCTAAAACTTACTTGTGTTCCTTAAGAGTTTTTTCTAACTTATTAGTCTGTGAATTCCATATAAATATTGAGCCATCTGAAGACCCACAAACCGCAAATGTAGAATCCGGACTAAACACTGCCCTTGTGAAATCAAATCCAACATGAAACCCATCAGCACTGAAAAATAAAATGTTACTAGATGTCTGAACATTTGTAGACAACTTCATACAAGCTTTTTGAGTTCGGAATTCAATATAGAGAAAAAGCGAATGAATTCATTTGAAGAAACGTTCCGCAGTGATTATTGTTAAGAAAAATTTTTTAGGGGGCGTTTAATCGAGGGAGGCGTTTATTATTTTTTATTTGATACGTATAACTCAACTAACACGCATCATCTAGCACTTTAGCAGCGCGTGCAAGCGACGTGTTTGCTGTAACAATGAAGCGGCTTTATTAAAAACTATTTGGACCCAAATTTGGGCAGCGAAACATTTTTGGAGGGCCGTGAAGCCGTCTGGAAATTTAAAAAAAAATAACAGAGATGTTTCATCATGTAGAAACGAGGTGTCTAGCTCCTCTGTTATCGTCTAGTATTAACCCTGTAAGATCGAGTAAATCCGGTACAGAGGAATAATGGGATGAGTCATGAGCTAAAGATAAAAATAAATATAAGACCTGTCCTAGAAAGATCACTACAGTAAACAACAAAACACATTTATTGATAACCAAATGCCCATGTGGATACTTTATTACTAAACAATACCTGTATAAGGTAGTCTTTCAAAGTTGCTGAGTAACAGAGTATGCATAACAGTTTTTGAAAGAAGGAGAAAGTATGAAGTGTGTGACTAAACCGTGTTTGGTTGAATCATGGTAGAAAAAAAAAAAACAATCAACAACTGTCGGGGTGGGGGGAATACAAAAGTATGGTATTATTTTTTTTATAAAATAATATTTAATTTGTATAAAATGAAATGAGAGAACAGATAATGATGTCAAATTATTGTATATACATGGAGGCTTCATGATCAAAAGTTCTTGCCAGAATTTGGTATGTTGGTCCCTGGCGTCGCTGGGCTGCTGGGCCGCGGCTTGCTGCCTGGAATCGTAAATAGGCCGTGAAGGAAAAAGTTTGCAGAACGCCGAGTTAGGATATCTATCCATGTTTGCAGCCGGTACCCTACGCTAATTGCCTATTCTCTCCCAAAAAATCATCTCTCAAAAAACAAATTTAACAGCACGTTGATGCCAAGGTAAATATTCACAAAGTAACAGAAACTTATTTGAGCAGAGAACGCAAGCATGTGAACTTACCATAATGTTTGCATAACCTGATTCATCCGCAGGTCAATGACCTTGAGTGTATCGTCTCGTGAACATACTAACAACTGTGTCCTCTCATTAGACAGGTCCAATGAGGTCACTTTACCATGCAGGAATAATTCATTCACAATTGGATCAGGAGACCTAAGAACAAACATTAATTCAATAATAATAAATATTATGATAATAACTTTGGTATGGAGAACACCTCCCCTGCTGATAACTAAAGACGATAATAAATATATTTATGTTCACCAATCTTATATTTATTATCATCTTAATAATATATTAGTCTATCTATAATGTTATACTTAGTATGCCAGAACTGGGATATTTATAGATTATAAATAGATGGGAATCTTACATACATGTTCATAATGTGATGAGCATATATTAAGTTGATAACAGACTCCCAGCATTTGTATAGCACCATTCTTTTCAGATACAAACATCCACAGCAAGTATGACGCAATTAGGAACGCTCCATGATTCAACTGACCAATCAGCATCACCAAAGGAGCGATAGTGTGTAGCGATTTTTATGGAAAAAAGGCTCTAGGATTAGATAGCAATCTTGTCCATTTATGTTCCTGCTGGGCTGGTCCTCAAAACGTAGGGAAAGGCCATCTTAGTTCTGTTATCCATTCAGTGTGATAACTGCCATAAATTTTTTTAAATATGTATTTTCCATGCTTCATATATTTATCTTATTAACCATTATTTTCTCTTTCTTCAGATTAATTTTTCTGTTAAGTAAAAGAAGTCACTGAGAAGATCAATACAGTAAAACCACAAGCCTGTTAAGTAAAAGGAGTCAATGAAAAGTTCGCATCGGCAAGCTTCACGTAATATAAATTTGTATACAATCACAATGGAAAGTAAAACTCACAAGCTCGACTTCTCAAGTCCCATATCTTGAGAGTTCTATCATGACTGCCAGACACGACTTTATTAGCATCTCCGAGGAATTTAGCCGCTAGGACTTTTCCACTGTGGCCTGTCAGTGCATGCTGCAGATTATAAAAAATAAAAAATTTCAGAATGATTCACCATGTGGACAAAACAAAAAAATATTTGGATACTGTTTATGTTACATTATCAAATCAATGTTGCTCCATAGGACGGTGGTATACACCATTTTCGCTAAATTTGAAATGAAAATTTCCGAGAACCTGGCAACTACCACTGGGGGACATCCAGGGGCCTAGGCATTTTGCTCTACGTAGTTACCAGTGTTTATTTCCGCTATAACCGTTGAACGACCTTCCTCTTGTAATGAGTTAGCCTAGGCTAGTCTTTAAAACCAAAATATCAAAACAAAAACAGAAGAAAATAGTTGCGCATAAAACATGTAGTGTTGCTCCATAGGCCTGTGGTATACACCATTTTCGCTAAATTTGGAATAAAAATTTCCGAGAACCTGGCAACTACCACTGGGGGACATCCAGGGCCTAGGCATTTCACTCTACGTAGTTACCAGTGTTTATTTCTGCTATTACCGGTGAACGACCTTCTTCTTGTAATGAGTTAGCCTAGACACAGACATAGACATACAGTGCTCTTTATTTAATCCATTGATGGAAATTACATAGCCTGTACGGTTATCTCATTATACAGTTTAATTCATCTAGAAATAAAAGACCAAGGGTGAAGGAGGGGATGATACGTCATTCAGCACCCCCTCAAACTTGATCGCCAGTCCCGCGTAGTAGACAGAGTATACCAATCACAAAGGCGAACCAATCAACCTTTCAGCTTTACGGATAAACTTATGCAACGTTTCCCAATCCCCTCCCAAAATGTTTCCCCCCCAGCAAATAAGACAATAGTTCAAGACCCCCATAATAAAAGAATTTAAAAAGAGTTAAAGAGTTTAACTTCCTTAAACAGAACATTGAAACATTAAGTTTCTTAACTAAATAGTCCACATAACAGTTCCAAGTGAGCCTATTATCATATTATAAAGATAATTCAACCTGCTCAATACATGAATTGTTAATAGTAATACAATCATTTATAGAAATATTTTTTTCTGAAATCGATTACCATTTCTTTTGTCTTATCAGTGTTTAACTCCAAGAAATTATAGTCACAGTATGGTACAAAACGTTCTATCTCGTATTTATAAAGTTCAATATTATCATTTTTAATTACAGTAAACCTATAATAGCTGAGTCATCTGCATATTTCATTGTAGGACAATTAGAATTAGTTCTGAAATCCGCCATATACAATGAAAATAGAAAAGGTGCAAAAACAGTGCCTTGTGGAGCACCCGTATTTGAAATAAGAACATCAGATATGATTTGGCCAATTTTTACAATTTGTTGCCTATTCCTATTGGTAGTTAACAATAAACATAATAACAAAGGCACATTCATATCTTCAAGTTTCTTAGCCAGAAGATGTACTTGTATTGTATTAAATGCGGAACTGAAGTCAAAATACATAATACGAATAGAGTTCCCTTTACGAGAATGCTCAAGGTGTGAGTAAATACTTTCTAGTTTATAGAGTAGGGCATCTTCTGTACCATGATTAGGCCTATACGCAAATTGGAGTGGGTCCATAAATTCCACAACACGAGGTACCAAAAGCTTCATCACAATCCTCTCACAGACCTTCATCACAGTGGATGTAAGTGCTATAGGTCGCATGTCATTCATGGATTGAATTATGCGAGTCCAGGCGTTTCTTTGTGAGCCACGTTTCAGTGAATGCCATTATGCTTACTGTACACTCCGGAATTCATTTAGATTTTTAATGTTGGCCCTCAATTCATCAATTTTATGATGTAACGATTGAACGTTACCGATAATAATAGAAGGTAGGGTTGGCTTACATCTTTGTGATTTAAGTCGCTTTTTAAAACCACTCGCCTTCCCACGTTTTCGGTGTTTCATTTCCGCAGGTAGATCTCTGGTCTTACATTGCTCAGACACAGGCGGTCTTGGTCGCGCTCCAATGGAATGCAACTCCGCTGCTGTGTAGCAATTCCCAGGCCTGGGTGATTCTACAACTTCGTCAACCGAAAACCCGTAACAAATACAGATAAGAAACCAAAATAGGTACAAATATGACTTGAGGCACAAATTCCATTGAATAAGTATGGTAATTGTAAAGTTAGCACTTCCAATAGGCCTAGGCTAGTTTTTAAAAACAAAATATCAAAACAAAAACAGAAGAAAATGATTGTGCATAAAACATGTAGTGTTTTTGGTTGTAGAATTACTCAAAAGAAGATATATGTCTGGAAAAAATGAAATTTGAGAAGAACAATGTGCTCTGGCTTTTGTGAATTTCTGATGTTTCAAATTTCAATGCATTTTAATGTTACTTTTATCTCCATTTTTCATGTCTTGTGTTTTGCTTGATTGATGTTTTAATATACATTTTTTGTAAATATCATGAGATGTGTATAAGAGACAGAATCAAATGACCATTGACAATGAATTGAATTATTTCAAACCTGTCTCTTATACACATCTAGATGTGTATAAGAGACAGGGCTTCAGTGAAGGCTATGATTACTATGCAAGTTCACCCACATGAAAAATAACTTAAGAACTATGACATATTTTATATGCAAATAATATTGACCTTTAACCTATGATCCTGAACACCCCACACTCTCATTGCAAAGTCACTGGAAGCTCCAAGTACAAAATGTTCCTGTACATCAAAATCTACAGACGTTACTCCTGCATTGCTACCCATTAGACTTGCTAATTTCTGACTAGAAGAGGATGCATCTACAAATAACAAAAGGTCTATAGTTAATACATTATGTAATACAACAGATTTGGAAACAGATCAAGCCTGGCGCACAGTGCAACTGCAATTATGAGGGACATGATGATGGATTTTTTTAAGACGAATGGTTGCCAGAGACGAGTATACTCGCCCACAGTGTTTTTCTGAGGGATGAGTATACTCTTCAAAATTGGGGTAACATTCTAGCGTTTATAACTTCTTTATTATACATTGTAGAACCAGACTCGACGGTTGGTAGTTTGGGGAAGATAATGTATGTATGTTTGTTGTGTTATGTTGCCGATAGTACACTCGAGCGGCACAAGTGGGGTGCCCTTTGAACATATACCAACCCATGCAAAAAGTGGACAAGATAACTCACACTTGGCATAGTCAATAAAACGTTCTATCAAAGTGCCGTCGACAAGTAAACTCGGCCCCCCCCCCCCATTTCCCCGCCATGTTATTAGGCACATAATTTTGATGATATATCACTAAATAAGATTTCAAAAAAGTATGTTTGTACATGTAAACTTGTTTTGGCACACGGGAAGGAACCTTAATAAAGGTCTGGCAGTCAATGTGTTAAACACAAATATACTCGCACTGCCACTGACAATCAAAATAGGGTTTCAGGCTATACTCTAGTGCAGTGGTTGATATAGGATACATTTTCTGAGGAAGTCTAAGCTGTCCAACAGCTTTAGCTAATATGCTGTGAAGGAAGATTTTTTAAAAATAGAGACCTCTGAATGGCCGGAAAATGGCACTCTATATACCGTGAAAGACATGTATTGGCTTGGTGTAGGCCTACCTTTAAATTTTTTTTTGGTCCAACTACCCAACGAGCTAGGCCAGGGGGGGCTTGACTTGTCCGATGGGGGCTTAAGCTCCCCTGCGCCCCCACTGCTCTGGTGATGTACATAATGACAATGAGGTGGCATTACATGTACTGTATACAGCAGTCATAATAAAGTGTGAAAATGTGCAAAAATTATACAGAGAAAGTAATAACACATTGTATCTTACATCATACCGTAAAACATCAAATAGAAGCCCAATGGGCTTACTCTCGAGGGTAAGCCCATCTCAAATTGAAGCCAACTCCTTAGTTTGCAAAAGTAGCCTCGAAAATAAGCTCATCTCAAAAAAAAAGCCCATGGGCTTCTTTTCAAGATAGACTTATTTTTTAGATGGTACAGTACATACACTGTACTTGAATTTCAAAGAAACAAAATCCCATCCAAAGTTCGCAAAAAGAAGCCTAGAGCTTCTATTTGAGGTCTTACAGAATTTCATTTAAATGTGTTTTGTGACAAAATAAAAATTCCTTATTCTTTTGTTAAGCTGAAAATAAAATTTAAAAAATCTTTTATTGCTTTATTTTGCTTTATTAAAGTTTACAACCTCTTAATTAATCATTTTAGCCAACAGTGAGAAAGTGCTGTATCGCAATAAGTGCAGGATGTTGACATTTTTGCCTAGCATGACTAACATTTTGAGTGCAACTTTTCTTAGTTCAGTACTTACCACGTATAGAAAACTCCCAAAGATTGACTTTCCTATCAGCACCACCAGTTGCAAACTTCTTTCCTGAAGGGCTACAACAGATTGCGGTCACATCATTTTCATGTGCATCCTAAAATAAATTTTATAAATTAATCATTTCCATGAATTGGGTGTGCGCACCTCCCCCCACCCCTTCCAATTCATGCCTGTTTTTTGCTTTTTTTTCCTGTGGCCTAAAAGCGCCTTCAGACAGGTTTTTCTGTGGAAGGCACTATGTAAGTACATGACCATTGACAATGAATTGAATTATTTCAAACTGTACAGATTGTCTTATATATTTGTTAGATTCCCCTCTAATTGGAAGAAATGACGTCATTAAGGTGGTTTCACACAGAGCAAAAGTGTTTCACCATAAGCATGAACAGTTTAATTTTCACTAGAGTTCTTCAACAAATTGTTTGCTTTTAAGTTTGTTGTGTTGCTCTGGAATTTATACTTTATACGAAGCGAAAAAAATGTGCAGCCAATCAGAGCTCAGGACAGAATTTTGCCATGCCCATGAGCACAGAAAAGAATCCATTAATGTACGTCACCATGACAGGCCAACAAATCAATGGCAACAGGCCAACAAATCAATGGCAACAGGCCAACAAATCAATGGCAACAGGCCAACAAATCAATGGCAACAGGCCAACAAATCAATGGCAACAGGCCAACAAATCAATAAATCAATGGCAACAGGCCAACAAATCAATGGCAACAGGCCAACAAATCAATGGCAACAGGCCAACAAATCAATGGCAACAGGCCAACAAATCAATGGCAACAGGCTAACAAATTTGTTGAAAAAAGCATATCATGAAACAAATTAATCACTTAGAACTGTTTTTAATCTTTGGAAACTTACAAACTTCCTGAGAACTTTAGTTGGAACACACGACACTGAAATAGGCGTTCTATAAAGAATAATAACATTAACATAAGTTGGTAAAGTAATGATTTCATTAAAAAACTAAAAAGAATGGTACAATAGTATTTAAAAATAAGACATATTGTATGTGATAACACTAACACTAGGATGTAGTTAATTAACAACGTACAGAAAAGGAAAACTGTCGCATAGTGAAGCTGCCAGATTAGTTAAGCTGTATTGTAGATTTCACTGTGGACTACATGGTTGCAGAAAGTCTTAACATTCGTGTTAGTTAAATGTTCAGTATGAAAGACAACATGAAAACTCACATTACAGGGCATGGGGATGTTACAACAGGTTTGACTGCCTCATCCAAAGTCAATTGTAGCTTTTTTTTCTGTTCCTCAAGGAACTTATCGTTACTATTGTTGACAATGTTTGCATCCAGTGCTTTTAATTCCAGCCATCGCTTCAATAAATCATCGAACTCTTCTTGTACTTTACGTAACTTCGCCTCCAAACCAGTATAAGCCAGCTGCAGGGCTTGCTGCTCATCTCGTATTATCTAAAGAAATAAATTTTAACTTTCCATTTTTTTTCATAAATTATTTTATTTTATATAGGACTTCACTTTTATATTTATATTAAATTGTATATAACCTTGTATCTTGTATATTAATTTAATTAAATAAAATTGCAATAATAATTATTTAGTATTTTACAAGGAATTTTAATTTAACTATAACAATTTAGAAAAATAATTGTACATAATTATTTCTTACGAAAACAGAATTTACTTATTTTTAAATTTGTGTAACATTTTCAACTAAGCACTGTTTTATTTTCTGAATGTAATGCTGTTGTTCTTTCTGTGTTTCCTTGATTTTTATTGATTGGTTATTGTTAAACTTCAATTTTGTATTCAAAATTACAATAAAGAAAAAAAACAGAGAATAAATGGACAATAAAATTTAAAAATTAAACCAAATACTAATATAATTAATAATTCGCTGTAACTCTTTCTATGGACGATAGAATCAGTAGAGCCTTCCATCAGTCGCAAAACACTACAGAAAAAAAAAAAATTATTTAAATAAAAAAACATTTTAAAATGTACAACAGAAGTCCTATGTGCTTACAACTATAT